CAGTTTGAAATTCCTGAAGGGTGTTTCCCTGGGAGCAATACTAATTGTCTCAGCAGTTTGGACGAGCGTCGTGGAATCATTCTCTGGCCCTAATGCAGTTCAGCATCCACTCATATTTGATCTTGGCGATAACTGGATGTGCGCATCAACTTATCGATAACCGCTCAATGTTGCTTGTTCGCTCATTCTGTGAGCTGTAAGGGCACTCCACACCAATGATCGTTGATTGACAATGAACCTTTCTATGCAGCCACCATGAAATAAGTTCCAGACTGATTAGTTAAAATGGCGGTTCTTTTGCGACCTAATGATGATGCTGCGTCATTTCCGACTCCAGGTGACAGGAGATTCAGTCGAAACTAAAATCAGTTGAACAAAGAGGCGCCTGGTGGTGGAATGGACCATTTCCCTCCCTGAGTGCCCGCACTGAACCCAAGGGAGCAATATTCTAACATAATGCGGCCTCATACGACATCACGAGAAGCTGGCTTCTGTTAGCTAACATCAAAGTACTTCAGTGATCCGTGTTCATCCCTGATTAGTAAGCCGCGCGCGTGTGTCTATAACTCCACAACTCAGTTGTTAGGTGTCTTTGGACGGGAGCGATGAAACGCTAATCAAGATGTCGTCCGAATGCCCATTCAAATTGTAATGGCGCTGCATTGTAATTTCGGCACCAAAAGGATGGAGCACCTCTTATGAGAATCTCCTGCTCCAATCGTCGCGCTCGTATTTCAGCTTTTTTGTGCAAACCGTTTCCCACAAAAACACGAGTCTGTTTTCTGACTGCCATGTCACCTACCGAACATAACTGACAACACTTTAGTCAACAAAGGGCGGTGATGTGTGGAAAAGCATGGATAGTTCTCAATTTTTTCATCAATTAAACTCGGTGATATCATGAAAATCAGACCGCGCTCATCTTTCATTGAACATGTATCGTACTTTTTGAGAAATACTCCCGCAACTCCAAGCATTAATCGCGAACATCCTGATTCAAATTCGTATGAGCACCCTCACCATGCCACTCAAGGCAGTTCACTCATGAATAAAGTTATGACTTATGGCCGTCCCTGGATTCCGTACGAGTTATCGGATTTGCACATAAAAACACTGCTGAACTTACAAAATATCTGAGTTTCAAATTGATGGTCCAAAATTTAAACAGATAGTGAAGACCCCAGTTAGACGTCAGCCCTCATCAATTTTCTTTGCGAGATCCAGAAATGGCTGTCCTACTGGAACCCGCATTATTCAACTTGCCCAATATGTTGGAAGGCGCATTAATCCACGTCTTATTTCCTTATTGCAGGTCACGATTTGAAAGCGATCAACTCAGTTCCGCTTTCAATTTTTGCTTTCTTACGGTCGCTAAAGCCCATTGAAGGGATTCCGCTTCAGGTTAGTCCTGTACACTAGTGTGTACCGTTTTCACCAACCATATACCTCACAAATGGTGCTTTGAGGACGATAGATGGATCGATGAATTCATGAGGATGCAGTGGCCTTCGCCTCATTAGCGAATTTCAACGCTTTATCTGTATCAATGCTTGGCTCTGTTGTTCAAATGATTTTTCATTTCTTGTGCAATGCACTGGGCTGAAATTGTGGAACCATTCGTTTCTACGGGCTGTAGGACATAACCCCTTCCCAATCTCGTGTAGACCTTGGTTCACCGCCTTGAGATCTTGAGCTGCGCGTTTCGCACAAATCCTCCGGAGCTACGGATTCCCACTGTCATACCCGACTACCAGTATACGCATAAACTCACAAGCTGAAACAGGTGAACACATCTTAGGTTGTTCTGCAGTTGTTTCTTGGATGACATCACATTCTAACAGCTTGCTATTCCCCCATAAGTAACATTACGGTTAGCTGAAACTAGATAAGTCAACGCTACGAAAATCCTACCCTCCCATTACTAATTTCGTAGGGCACGCTGGGAACTGACCTGAGCTAATGTCAACTGATGACCCGATTCACAATTTCTTTCTATGGAGAGGTTTTGAAACGACGGACAAAATGGAACCGTATCGTTTCCGAGCCAACAAAGTCGTTGTTTTCGAAATGGGACAACCAAGGTGAACGTGAGGCGAGTACTCCGATAAACATTGATCAGAGAAATAGACTTAGAACTCCGTGCTCCGGGGTTTATTGCCGTAGTTACATCTGGCCTTGTTTAGATAACGAAACACTAGCACGATTGAATAAGCATTGTTCATGAAGATGGTTTCGCCAAATAAAGTGACGTTTTTGTTAACGACTTTGATAATCCGACACTGGTCTCCGGTGTAGTCAATAAGAATGTTCCTTCACAACACTGTGGGGATCTTTTCGGTCTGTGTCAGGTTTTGGTTTCTCTGTCGCTAACTTGGCTTACACAAGGGCCGGCCCTTCTTGTTTTACACGCTCCTTCATTCAGTCCTTATTCTGCTCATCCGGTTGGCTGAGTCTGCTGCTAAGCGTATACATAGAATTAGAGCTTGCTCACTTTCTCAAATGGAGCACGTTGCTCAGACGTGACTTATGGGTAGAGTGACTGTCATTCCTGATATGAATAATTGTGTTCGTCCTTTCTGTCGAATGTCGTTGAATTTTGGTGGAGTGCCCTGATCTCTTCCATTGAAAACTTCACCAGCCTTTAGTGCTACTGTTCTTAGTGAATCGTCGGTTAGCTGAACACGGACGTGACGATATCTCTGATTTCCCACTTATGATCGTCTGTTGCGTAAGATGCTGCTGTTGCAGTATGGTCGTTGGTTTAGGACATCTTAGGCGAAGAACAAGACGGTGCTTAGCCAAGGTGAGAAAGCAGATGCTGAATATCCAATTACTCCTTTCTGACGTTGTGTTAGGATCATATCTCTCTGGGCGCGTCCTAGAACACTTCGTTGAATTTGCAGCTGCGGAGAAGCAGTGGCCCATAAACCTTAATGGGCTTAATGTACCATAGATTTCTAAGGCGATGAAATTCGCCGATACGGAATTTGGTTTGGATCATATCTCTGAAAACCGTTAGATGTTACCTCCGTAACCGACTGGATACGTTTTATGGCTTAGTTCAAATTTACACTGTGGCTGTCACATCGACATTTGGGTACTTCGCCAATGATTTCACGACTTGCCCAGAACAGTATTTTGAGGTATCGTCTTTCGAAATCCCAGATCATTGTCTACAGTTCTCAGCGAATTTGCAGTGAGGTGATGAGGACTTTGAGGCAGTAGTTGCCCCATTGTGAGATGCGTATAAACCACAGTTATCCCGTCATGTGCAACGCATTTCAGCCCATTGTCTGTCGAAGCGAGCGTGGTTTACGGTGGCAAAGAACATGTTGTACAAACCAACCAACAAGTAAAAGATAACTTGACAGTTGTTAGTAGAAGAGATCGAAATAAATGCTGTTGTTACACTCTGTCTTCCAGAATGGGGTCCACAAGGCGCCCTCTATGGTTAGCTGGGAATACTGCAGGTTATACTCGCGAACCGCGCTGGAAGTGCCCGTTTTGCTGCAAACCTCTACGGATTGCTCTTAGCAGAGCTATGTTTTGCAAGCACTTCCCAGTATCCTGGGAGTATACTCCACGTTCTGGCTTTTAATGCGCACCAGATCGAGTCTTGGCCGTTCCCTATTCCTTCGGCACGCCGGTTTACTGCAATGTCCTGAGGCGTCTGATCACTGACATTCGTGATTTCAACTGGTGTGCTGTCGATCACCCTTTGGTTTTCTCAGAGAGACGGTTGTTTTGTTGTGACTGCTGGTATTTCATGCCTTCCGTCCAACCACCATGTTTCCTTTTTTGAGGGCAATGTTCTTAGTCCGTTGTCTTTAGTCACGGTATTCATTAGTGTTTGACTTTCTCAACTGATTTGAGGAGTTTGTATTCATCAGGAAGGTCAGCTTCCTGAAATCAACCACGAATGTCCGAGACTCTCAGCTCCGCTGGATGTTGATCAGACAGACAACGCTCCCACAATACGCAGCACTTCACAGCCTCGTACCACAGTCCGACGTGCGTCAGCATTGGACGAAGTTCAGACAGTGTCCCTCCAATAAATAGCTTGAGAACGTTGTACATTCGCACTGGCACGCTCTCGCACTCGCTTGCTCGGAATATAGCTGCCGTGTTCCCTTCTGCGAGTCTTTTTTCTCTGGTACTAGGCACTGGAGCGGGTCAGCAGCAGATACCTCAGATTGACGAATCAGCAGATGTAACAGTACTATCTACGTCTCGCCGTCGATACCCGGAAAATAGCGTTCATCGTTTCGTTTTGCTCCCTTTTCAACCGTGTAAAGTCGTATGGACTCATCATATCTATCCGTATTAATTTACTTGCTCGCTGAACTATGACCTGTTTCCTAATCCCAACTTATTGTTTTTTTCTTCAGTCGATCCCACTACGCTGTCTGGTCTATACCATCGGTTTGGGTGGGGACACAGACTCGAATGCGTGCATGGCTTGTTCACTGGCCGGTGGCTATGTGGGTCTTGAACCGTGGCAAACTTGTACGGATAGCCCCATCTCACACGAAATTCTGGCTCGTTGCGAACGCCTGTCTGTTGTCAATGAAATGATTGACTGGTTGGGTTCGCGATTGGCCGAATAAGACCGTTCATCTCAATAAACTGTGATCCTTTTTTTATTTTCCGGGCTACGTTATCCTATTTTTTGATTACTTTATCTTGCTTACTTCTTTGATCAGTAAAATATATGAATTTCCACAAGTACGAACTTTCGCAGAGAACTCATGGCGTTTATTCTCAGGCATCGGGATGTAACTCCTTTGTAATCAGTCATCTATCCTATGTCTTCATTACCTTTTCCTTTGAGTAGCGGCGCTGCATAAATAGGGCAAGGAATACACTTTTCCCCGACTGGAGGGAACGTAAAATTTCAGGTCAGTGGTTTGATAGATGAACGGACACCACTTTGAGGATGTGCTGAATTGAAGGTCTCTCCGCTCACATCTGCTTACAAAGCTCACAAATGTGAGCGTTACAGGAGCCAGGCGATGGAATCCTTTTCCACTTTTTGATGTCACGCTTAACATGTTCGCTTAGTCAACGTTTTACTGAAAGTTGAACGAGCCTATCGTGCCCTTGGCTTGTAAGAAACTTAGGACTTCTGCTGCACATACAGTACTAACGTAATCCATAACCAACAACAAAACAACTGCATTTGACTTGTACACTTGTTCCCTCAACGCACGGAAGTTGGCCGCTCGCCGTGTTGGTCCTCTCCAGTTTTTATTTGGACATTTATAGTAACCTCCAACGCAACTCTGATCCTGATCAAAAGGAATTTCAAATTGGGAGTGAATGCCTGTTTGCGACATTTTCCGCCCCTTCCTGGGAGGTTTGCCAATTCGATGATCATCCTCTATCATGGGGGTACCCTACAGTTAAGTTTTTA